AAAAAGTTCTTTTAATTCCCTGAGGAATTCCCCCCCCCCCCAAACCCCCAACCCTCGCCCCTTCATCGTCCACTAAACAAATAACGACAACGAGTCTTTTCTCGCTATTGAACGCTGTGTGCTTGCGATGCTTCCCATACTTTAGACTAAAGTCTCAAAGTCGGGGCCAGTTTGGTCGTAGCCCCAGGCTGGGACTTGTAAATTCAATTTAAATATTCGCCTGTCTCTGAGGATCGTAATGAGTTGAGAGCTAACGTGCAGCCACACTGCCCCGCACCGCACCCCGCCACGTCCCTCGTCCTGCCGCCTCACGCTAGGATTCTAGTAAGAGGCGAGCAGTCGAACAGTCGAACAGCCGCATAGCCGAAAAGCCGCATAGCCGATCCCGGGAGTCACGGTCGAATCGTCGATTCTCCTCGGCGAGAAGGCGAGAAGGCGATCGCTAAAATTAAACCTGAAATTGGCCGCCGCGCCGGGGGACCTATATCGCTTCCTGCTTCGCCGGTATCCAAAAAGACAGACGACGCCTGCCTCTCGATACACCTCTGGAGTTCTCCTCGCTGCCTCTTCTCGCTCTCCTTCCTCTATCTATCTTGCTGTCTATCTGGCCATTTTTTCTTTTCTATTAGATCACGACTTCCGGTAGGCTCGATCCACTGGGGGAGCACCAGCCTGCCACTCGTCTCTCTGTTCGGTCCTCTCGTGTTTACCCCGCTTTAGCTTAGTCGATCCTATACTTGTGTGGAAAATCGGAGGACTACTCGGCAGGATCCGCGCGATTATTCCTAGACGTCCTTATAGTCGATGCTCAATGCTGAAGAGAGAACACGGTTACAGGCAGAGTCGCGTCAAAGTGGATTAGGCCCAAAGTCTGTCTGAGGTAAAGCCTACTTATCCGAAAAATTGCCAATGGTCCAGAGGGAAGCTTCACAGGGTAGAATCAAAGATTATTGGGAGCCTCCATTGAAATTGCTTCTCTATTTCTATCTTCCCACACAAATGAGAGAGAGAGAGAGAGAGAGAACCAACAGACACTTACAGTACGTGGCTGTAAGGTCCCTTTTTGAGAGTGCGAGAGACGTAGAAGGGGGGAGGAGGGCTGCCTCATCCGTCATCGGCTTGTTTGCCGAAAAACTCGAGAAATCCGACAAAGCCTTTACAAGATTTTCCTAGGTTCTCTTATTCTCCAAATTTTTTGCTTTTCATTCGCATCTCCATTTTTTTTTGACTTTCATGCGTTACGTTGGTAAGTGCATGCTTTTGGGACGTGTCGCGCGAAAACGTGCTATATGTTTGGGGACTGGGCTCTTCCGGAACGAAAAGGGTCCATTAATGCGCACGCGGGCCCCCACGTGCTTCGAAGATCGTGAAAGGGTCGAAAGGGACTTCGACAGGCAAAAGAAGAGGTGGAAAAAAATAAAATGGGGAGGCTCCCCCCGTGTAAATAAAGATCGTAGATTCTGCGGTGACGCTTTGCGGGCCCAACGGGTCTTTCATAAAAGATGTGTATCGTCTCTACTACCCATGATCGAGACCCTTCAAAATCATTTAGGTATGAAAACACGAACCCTTTCCATAATTTACAGTTCAGAAGTACAGATTGACTGAATAGATTGGCTATCTAGAGGGGGAATCCTTATCAAAATGATTTTAAAACGTAGCCAGATCTAAAGAGCGGAGGCAGCAGGAGATGAACGATGTAGGAACGGGAGGTAAGCGAGCAGCCGTGGGAGGTGGGAGGTGGGAGGTGGGGGGAGGGGGCGAAGGCCGCAGAGAACACGGGGAAATGAAATCCCTGCAAGTGATATCGTGCAACCGTGCAAAAGTGACGATGAAGTTACGCATAAATCACTACTGCGTTGAGGTAAAGCCACGGCGGCGCGTGGTGGTCGACAGGACCAAATGATCATCATCAAGGACCAAAAACCAGTTTGAGGCTCACGTACCTGTACCGCGCAGCTACTTAGGCGGCCACGCATGTACTCGCGCACGCACGTACGAATATCTACCTACATTACAGAGCTACCTAGAGGCACGCAGTGTCGATCTTAAAATTACATAACCCATCACTCGGGAGACTGGTCGAGCCGACCACGTTTCCGCCATTGCCTTTACTTTTTCATTGGCTTGATTCGGTCCGATGGGTGCGAGTCACGGTCGCCTCCTGCATTCTCTTATTTTTTCATTTCAATTAGATTACCAAACATCGTCACGAGCACCTTTCCCACTGTGCACCTTAAGCCGAGGAATACTAGCTGCGAGTTACTGCTCGTTGACAAATGAGAGTGAGGAGAATGAGAGGAGGGGGGGGGAGAGAGAGAGAGAGAGAGAGAGAGGAGGCAGCCAGGCATCGCAACAAGACCAAAAGGCAGGAAGGTCCACGGCGGAGTAGGAAAGTACAAAGTCTCCGCGCAGTGAAGCAAGAGCGAGCAAACCTACAGAGAATCTAGGATACGCGGATACCATTGATTAGGCAAGCCCTGTGTCTACAGGATTGGGAGGAAGGAACTCTCGGGATAGTTTTAACGTCGTACCCGGGAAGGCGTTTGCGCCGTTCACGTGCATTTTTTCCAGAGCATTTCCGAGGAACGACTCGATGGAATGCTTCGACTGCAACAATTACCCCGTCGTAAACGGTACCACGCTTTGCCGAGATTGAAATATAAAACGGATCTTTTCCTTTTATTTTTTACTTCCTTCTTGCTCTCCTTATTATTCTCTTATTCTCTCCTCCCTTTGGTCTCCGTTCTCTTCTGGTTCTTTCACAGTATCGCTCTTGCCGGGGAAACGGACGGCGCCCCGACTTCCAAGCGGTTGAGTTTTACGTTTTACGTTTTACGTTTTACGTGGGTCGGACCGAGCGACAGAGGATAATGATAATGGGAGATCGAGGAAGAAAGGGGATACGTCTCAGGACTGAAGAAACGGGGGACCCTACGGGCCCTGGCAGACCTCTAACTTCTAACTACTACCGTTTCCTCTCTCGAGGCGCCCTTGCGAAAACAAATGGATTATTAAGAGCGGTCAGAGCGAGAACTGAGTAACGATTAACGTTGTAACGAGAGTTCACATTTTTTGCATCTCGTTCTTTTTTTCTTTTTCTTTTTCTTTTTCTTTTTTCCATCGCATTTCATTGACAGGGCCCGTGCACAACGACCCAGAGCTCGAGCGAAATTCCAAGACGATCCCGGGACTCTTGTAAATGGCTCACTTGCAAAAACTGGTAGAAGGTTGAAACTCTGAGGGGGATCGTTAACGAGATGGACTTTACAGAGGCGAACATCGTCGATATTATTTTGGACCTAGGAACCGCAAGTCCTTCACACGCAGCGAGTGCAAACGACAAAGAGGGAGGCCGCGGATTCAAAAGGCAGACGCGACGAGGCGCAGGAATAGAAGAACTTGAGCGGCAGTGTGAGCATAAGATCAATGTTAAGAGTCTCCCCCACGGTATATCGCTCGCTTAACGTTTCCTTAATGAAAGCCAGCAAAGCGGCAGACAACCCCAAGAGTAGGGGATTTTTTATAGACCCTACATCCCTATTCGCTTCCGACACGCACTCTCGTGTACTGCACACGCGTAGACGCGTAGACGCGTAGACGCACATGCGTCCTACCTTCCGTGGCAATACTAACCCTCAAAGGAAGACGCTCGCGCCTTAGTCGCTACGCAAGCTCAGTAGCCAGAATGGGTCCTGCTCCCATCCTGACGTCGTGGTCGGTCGGTCAGTCAGTCGGTCGGTCAGTCAGTCAGTCAGACTGTCCGTCCGAGAAATCCATGCAAACTTCATGAGACACGAATGCGACTCACTGACTGAGTGACTGAGTAAGGAGGATGAAGGAATAAGAAGAAAGAGAGAAAGTAGAGAAAAAAAAAGGTAGAAGGAGGGCAGGAAGAAAATTTTTTATAGGAACCCAAAATAGAAACGCAGGGACAGAGAGACATTTTTTGTCCCTCCACCCTCTTCTGCACTAGGTACAACTCCTACGTACTGCTGCCTACTGCTGCCTACTGCTGCCGGGCGCGTCCCGTTTTTTTATCCGCGGAAGAAATATGGTATCCTGTGGGCGCGTAAGGAGAAGACGACAAGATGATGCGCGGCGCAAGACGCAGCATCCAACGAGGGGATGGTTAATACGGTTCACCCTGCAGCGGCTTTTATTTTAAATCCCGATGCGCGCAAACGAGAGGGACATTCTCATCCCGAGCCTTCATCCTGTCCTCGTCCCTCGTGTCTTTTTTATGTATACGAGGGAAGGGAGGAATCGAGGGCGAAGCTGCCGGAGAAACAACACTCTCCGGCAAATTAAGACGGGAGCGAGAGATCTCCCCGGTAGCCGCGGGATGCTTTCCGAATGACGTAGATTGCGCCTAAGCGAAACGGTGGTAAATCCTCAAAATCATCGCAGCCTACGCCCAACCTTGCGGCGCACAACGTACAAATCTATACATATATCTAGCGCTAGCTATAGAATAGAATATACCAGGGAGAAGAAGATGGCATTCAAAGGATTTTTTAACGGGTCAAGTTTCCGGATCTCCTGACGGACAAATGGAATTATTATAGTAAAGTGGATAAGGGTCTCTGTGTGTGTGTGTGTGTGTGTGTGTGAGAGAGAGAGAGAGAGAGAGAGAGAGAGAGAGAGAGAGAGAGAGAGAGAGTCAGTGCAAGAGAGATATAGGAAGTAAAAGAGAGAAAAAGCGAGTATCCTACAGCCTCCCGCACGCCTACGTAACCTACAAATCTATTGACGGTCCATTCATCCCTTAACTTTGTACTGTATTGACAAGTTCTCAGTGTTCGAGATGGTATCGTTTATTTCCTCGAGTGTCGAAGGACTACCGATTATTTTCTTCTCGTTATTGTGACAAGGCAGGAGGGGGGGGGGGCCCTGCCTTTCTTTACAGTTTGGGTCTTGCCTACCTACACGTTGCCGTGCCAAGGCGAAGGCGAAGGCGAAGGCGCGCTCTCAACTATCCTGCCACTAGTTGCGTTTCTGCAAAATTGCACGCGAAGAATGAACGTGCCGAGTTTCCCTGGGGCTGTTCACGTGGCGATTACCGGGCCGTGCGACAGGGGGGAGGGTAGAGAGGGACATCGCAGATCTTTCGACGGAAAGATCGAAGAAGCGCCTTAACGGTAATGGCCACAATAAAATATTCAGAGAGTCCTACTCGGTCCCATTTTTCCATGGGGTTAGGTTATTCCTCTTTCTTTGTTTTGTTTTTTCTATTCTTGTTACCTTTTCATCCTCGTGCGGCGTAGGTGGGGTGGGAGGTGTATACATTCGGGGTGCATAGTCGCCGATCGACGAGGCTCCTCCAGTCGATGAACCTTGACTCCTGGGTGGACTAAGATCCGGTATGGCCGCATGATAATCCTGGAGTGCGGGCACTACCCCCGTGGGTACCACTGGTCGGTACTCCATCGCACGCACCTCCATTTTGCTCGCGATCGGGTATCCTGAGTAAACCAGCTTGAGGCCGTTCTCGAATTTCCTTCGAGTATGGTTATCACCGTAGAATCACTGCCGCTTCGCACAATCGTCTCTTAGCTCCCGTTAGTCTTTGCCCTCTCGCCACTTTTTATTCGCTTTTCACTTTCGATCTATAGTCCTGTTCCTTCTCTTTTTTCCTCTGCTCTTACTTCGAATATAGAAACACCAGTAACAAGAAACAACAAACAACAACAACAGTACGCGAGGAACCGCGCGACGTATCACAGATAACCGATCGCGTTTACCCGAATATATGTACGAACGGTATGAATATTTTATTATATACGGACGTTCGGGAGTGCAGAGTAACTTATGTAATTAGGATAGAAAGAGGTTCGCGAGCGCGACTCTTAATTAATCGAGCGTCGATTCCGATTCTTCACTCGATCGGACGATTCTATCTGGCCGATGTACTTGATCTGCTTTCCTTCTCCTCGGCACACTTGGTCCTCGTCTCCAGCTTTTTGGCCTATCTCTTCACCCCAAGGCTTAACAAAGGCTAACTAGGGAATAATTCTCTTTCGAGAGACTGTAGATTGGACCCGCGTGGTTCGACGGGCTCCTTTGAAATATCGGCGCATACGCTCAGTTATGTTTTTACGTGCTTCGTGTTCCCGGAGCGTGCGTGAGATTGCGTGAGAAACTTCTCCCCTCTTCTTCCTTACTCTTTATGTTATCTATTCTCTCGTGTATCTACTCTCTTTGAATCTCCGTCTCTCACTCCCTCTCTCGCTCAATTTTTTTCGTTCTGTCTATCTACAATTTGGCTTCTGATCCGTGTCTCTGCCGTGCTTCCGTTTCTTTTTCGGGACGGATAGATATCCGTCCGGCAAGATTCTCTCTGGCCAAATAATCTCCGATTATTTCCTTGGCGATTGTCACTTGACGTTCTCTCTCTCTCTCTCTCTCTCTCTCTCTCTCTCTCTCCCGCTCTTTCTCTCGACCGAGAGAATCGTCAATTCAGGGTCAGGTCCACATCGCGGGCTCTCTCCTTGATCCTCCTCGTGTTCGAAGAGAGATACGATGCGAGAGTAGTCACGATGTTTTTGGTGTTAACGATAAGACGACGGCGACGGCGACGGCGACGGCGACGGCGACGGGCTCAGTAGAGGGAAGGTTGCGTCGTGTCGTCGATCCTCGTGGTTGCGTAGTAGCCGGTGCGCGCACGCGTTCAACAAAATGTCCCTCGCGATTTCGGGCACCCGTTAAGAACGTTAAAACCGCAAGCGGAAATAGCAGGAGACGCGTATCTGGCGTCTCGTGTTTTTGCCCGGTGTTTACTGTTTTTCTAGAGGCGCTCTCTCGCTCGCTACCATGGGGTAATGCTCACCCCTTGGCTACTTTTTGCCGACTGAATGTTTTGCGCTGCTCGAGCGTTCTCGGCCCTCGGAAGGCTCGAGCCGAGCGTGCACCCCCACCCCACGGCCGCATCCCCACCAGCCGACGGCGACGCCGAGCGCTTCCCCTACCCTCGCTCCCTAGACAAGAGTGAGACTGCCAGGGCTATGCGCATACGTGAGAGGAGAGAACATCGGGGAGATAATTAAGCGAGCATATCGCGTCCTCCCTTCCTCCCTTCTTCACTCTCTCTCTCTCTCTCTCTCTCTCTCTCTCTCTCGGTAGAGAGAAGACTGGTGTCCTCTGTCTGGTCTCAAAACTCCTTAAAGGTTGTACACGGTGGGCAAAGCTTCGAGGGCTCGTACGATATGAACGATCAGATGAAACAAGAGAGAGAATGAGAATAGGAGGGGGAGAGAGAGAGAGAGACGAGGGTCCAAGTTCGAGCTTCTATCATCACGCGAGCGCCGTGGTACAGGAACTTTGCGCTTCGCGTGTAATCCCAAATAGACGCGTTTTAGATCCCCACTGCATAGTGACCCGTCGCATCCCCACCCACTTCATCTTTGCCGACAATCAGTCACTAGCTCTCTCGCTTCTTCTTCTTCTTCTTCTTCTTCTTCTTCTTCTTACACTTCCTTTCTCTGATACTCGGGTCCCTCTTATTCGTATGTTCTCTCTCTCGCTCACTCATTCGCTCCCTCTTTCTCTCTTCTCCCTGCCTACGCCATCGCCCCACCACCACTTGGTACAGCCAGGCTTCCGCTTCTAGGATCTGGTAGACCTTGGTGCTCATACGAGAAGCCCTATGCACCCATGACACACCTATATCTCTGTATCCACATGTGCATGTGTGCCGCCTCATTTCATTCTATTCGATTATCCGTGTGTATGTCAAATCAAAGATAAACAGCAAATACAAGTAATGAGAATTAGCGTATCATTTAAAATGGTGCGATGTTACATATTTGTAAGCCGAGAACAAGATAAGCTATACGTACAATATTATATAAGAAATAAGATGTATCCTGTCGATACTTAAATATCATTCGATAGCTACGTTCATTCATGGTCACAGTGACAAGCGTTTAGAACTGGGGAAGGGCGAACGCGAAATTCAGACGATCGATATGTCTGTCCTTGTCTTACGCACGTAAACGCCAGTAATACCCTCTCACTCGCACTCGCAGTGCCAGTATCATTGAAAAATTGGAAAAACTACTAAAGGGCTCGGTTGATCGGTGGATCGATGGATCGGTGGATCAAATTTCTGATTTTCCAATGAAGATTTGATAAGTAATAAAAAGGATCGATTAAAAAGTGATGTCGTGCGTGTGACGCCAGTAGCGTTTGGCGTCGCGGCGCATTGCGTTGCGTCTCGTGTGTTCCACGATACGTGGCTCTTTGGTTTCGAATCGAAAATGCTCCGTCATACTCGACTGCCTTCTGTTGCCCAAGCGTGTAGCACGGTTTGAGATCGGGCCGAAAATCGTTTTCGACACCCGAGGAGAGTGGGCCCAGACCGGGAAAAAGTGACGCATCGATTTTCTTACAAAAATCATTCGTCGGGCTCTCTCTCTCTCTCTCTCTCTCTCTCTCTCTCCTAGATTATTTTTCTCACTTTCGGGCGCACACACACGCATGCTGCTCGCCCGCAGATCCCTCTGGATGCGGCGACACGAACAGGCCCAACACGCGCGACTCTCTCATCCCTTTCAAGTAGTATTATTATTTTTTTTTTGGAATTGCTTATGGGGTCTGTTGCCGTTGCGTATTTTAAGCGGTCGAGAACGAAAGTCGAAATTTGTCAAATGCCTACGGATCCGTGTAACGTCTTCATAAAAGTCTGTTTGCTGCTTACTCAGTGGGACCATTCAGGATCCTTTTGCTCTCGAGGCCCGTTCGATTCTCTCGGTCATTTTCGTTTTTGCTTTTTTTTTCCTTTTTCTTCCTCCCTTCGCCCCTTTTTGCATTCTCTCTCTCTCTCTCTCTCTGACTCCTCTTGACTCTCTCGTGTGCTACTACTATACTCTGACTCACGTAGGGAGGTACCGGTTTTTGCGCGGGCGCTTTTTTGCCGATGCCAGACAAATAACTGTGAGAGGGTCAACGTGTAGAGAACGCGAGGAGAGAGAGAGAGAGAGAGAGAGAGCGAGAGAGGGGGGGGAGGGAGAGCAGGCAACTCGGAAGCAAAAGAGAAGATGCTGAACGCGTGCGCGCAGTTTTCGAAGGCAAAAAGAAGGGAAAAAAGGGGCAACACATCGCGTTAGGCGCCGCCGAGAAAAACTCGAAGGGCCTTTTTTTCCTCTAGGCCTCCCAGCAGCGCTCTCGTGTATGAAACTCCTCGAGTGAACGGGCCCTCTTGACGTTCATCGGTTATTGTCTATGTTTTTGGTTTTCCTAAAATTTTTATATCCCGGGGTCACTGACACCATTCCCAAACGATCCTGCCTTTTCGGGCGCGCCAGAAAAATATGATTTTCGGAAATGAACTGCCAGAAATCGACGTCGAGCGAGAAATCGCGTTTCCCATCGACACAGGAACTGCACACCCTCCGGGACTCAGGGCGCCATATGTCGATCAGACGTGCTTTGCTTTTCGCAACGCCACGCGTTTTACTCGATTCCCGCGCCGAACGACGTCGGCATCGGCGTCGGCATCGGCGTCGGCATGCCGATTTCGATCAGTAGGGTCCATCCTAATTCCAACTTCTAAGAAAACTGAGCAGAAAAGAAGCGATCGGTATTCGAAGGTATCGTCGCGTGATATCTAGGTCGCGACGGTTCGAAAATCCAAAAATAAGGCCTTTCGCGTGTTTCTTTGAGGAGGATCGATTCTCCTGCGGTGCTCGTGCTTCCCTCTCTCCCTCTCTCCCTCTCTCCCTCTCTCCCTCTCTCACGCTTTGACACTCTCTTATTTTCTAGCCGGCTGTGCACGTGCTAGAATCGGCGAAAAACCTCGAGAGATAGAAATCGGTTTTAAGGTGCCCGCGCAAGTAGGCACCTTGGCACGTTTATTACGATTAGGAGCAGCGAACCGTGGAAGTGCCGTATTCCGCAGCCGCAGCCAGTGTATCCAGTATCTGTGGATACTGGCCGATCGGCAAGCCGACCGATCCATAACCTCAGTTCCAATAGCGAGATGCAGCGAAGCGTGATGGCGTTCGTTTTGTCGCCGATCAGAAAGTCCCTCACGAAAACGGGAGATTATTGGATCGACACGGCTCTCTACCGATCTTACGGGGGTTTCCCTCGCTAATGAGCGCCGATATACCACCGATCATACTACCGATGAAAAATCTGCAGGATCTTATTTGTCCTCGGGTTATCGATCCAGATCGACATTCCGGACAAAAGTTGAACGTTCGCTCGAAGGGGAAAAAAATGCTTTAAGAAAAATCACGATACTTTCTGCGACAGTGTTCCGCGTTTAAGAGACTATCGGCAAGTGATCGACAAGAGATCGGCACGGAGCGACGGGTGGGTAGGCTTCTTTTACGTCACGCCTTCTGTTTATCCTTTTTTTCCCTCTTCTTTCCTTCACTATCTACGAGTTTTCCTTCTCGCCGGGAACAAGAGGGCGACCACGCAAACGCGGTAAGACTGGATTTTTCAAAACGGTTACTCACCACCAACTAGGCATCTGTGCTTAATATGCATATGGTCCAGGTCGCAGCATCCCCTGCTCCAATCCTTTTTTTTTTTGTTTAACTCGCTGCAGCCCGATATGCCCCTCTTGGTACGGCTACCACCACCACCACCACCACCACCACCACCCTTAGTCACCGGCACTACCACTGTCACAATTATTGTCACTACCACCACCACCACCACCAGCACCATTACTAGCAGCATTGGCAGCATTGGCAGCACTGGCAGCACTGGCAGCACTGTCGCATGGGGCTATACTCTCCCCTTTCGACAGACTGTCCTTTGCCCTCCCTTGCTTTCGGTCGGGCCTACCCTACTCTTTCTCTCCTGCCTCCCCATCTCTTACCTCACTCTGGTGGTGGTAGAGTCGCCGTGGTGGTGCTCTGGGTGCTCGCCCTAATTTCAACGGTCCGATCTTTCTCCACGTCTCCCGGTCCCTCGTTCTCTCTTTCCAAGTCGCTTTGAATGACAATCGCTCGGCTGGCTTAAGCGGGGCGTTCATGGA